GGGCGGGCCGAAGCGTGGGGAGCTGCCCCGGCGAGACCTGGAGGCGGCGTGGAGGTGAGTACATCAGTTGTGAAGGGCTATGTGCGTGAAAGCTGGAAAACCTGGAGTTTGGAACGCGATGTTCCCTTACCAGCTCACAGACGTTGAGAGGAGGTAGAAGACTGATGTGTTAACCATCCGGATCAGAAGAAGAGGAAAAAATAACTTCAGAAAGATTAGGAAGGAACCCAGGCTCGAAAACAGATAAGCAGTTTTGAGAAGTGCAGCAAGGCGGAAGGTAACAGTGTCCCTAAAGGAACTTGGTTCATTATGGAGGGCTGGAGCATGGAGACAGGCTGAGAGAGCTGGGCTTGTTCAGCCTGCAGAAGGCTCCAGGGAGACCTTAGAGCAGCTCCCAGTACCTAAAGGGGCTGACAAGACAGCTGGAGAGGGACTTTGGACAGGGGCCTGTAGGGACAGGACAAGGGGAATGTCCTTAACCTGATGGAGGGGAGATTGAGATGAGACATTTGGAAGAAGTTCTTCCCTGTGAGGGTGCTGAGGCCCCGGCACAGGGTGCCCAGAGAAGCTGTGGCTGCCCCATCCCTGGCAGTGCTCAAGGCCAGGTTGGACACAGGGGCTTGGAGCAATTTGGTCTAGTGGAAGGTGTCCCTGCCCATGGTAGGGAGGTGGAACTGGGCAGCTTTAAGGACCCTTCCAACCCAAACCAGTCTGAGATTCTATGATTATAATCCTAGAAATCACACCCCCTCAGGTGAGACACCCTTGCCCACAGACACCCTCACTCACAGAACTTGTGCATGTGCTGCGTGCTTAAACAGAAAGGAGAGAATGCGAGAGCAAATGGCTGGGGAGAGAGGCTGTTACCTACACAGAAAACACCAATTACCACCATTTGAGATGTCTTACAGTGGATAGCTGGCAGACTGAGGGTGTGCTTTGTCAACCTGTCCCCCAACACCCATCTCTGTGGAAATATGAGTTAAACTATATCTTGACTCTCTGTTTGAGGTCAGCTTGTTGCACTCCAGGTGAACAAGCCCACATTTCGACAGCAGCAAGAGTGGTGGTTGTGCTGTGGAAGGTCTGTACTTCACCTACAGCTTCCCCCCCAGCGCAACAGCATTTAGAAACATGACTTTACTGCACAGGATGTGGCCATTCAAAGCACGCTTAGAAACTGGTGTTGTCCAGGGCACCTCCGTGCCGGAGATCACCTTACACCTGGACTCACAGTACCCCTGAAAGCAGCACATATGTCGTGGTTTAAGCCCAGCCGATACCTCAGAACCACGCAGCCGCTCACTCACTCCCCCTCCCGTTCGTACTCCCCCCGCTCCCAGAGGGATGGGGAGGAGAATCGGAGGAATGTAACTCCCACCGGTTGAGATAACAGCACTCCAGTAACTAAGGTATAATACAAACCACTACTGCTACCAATAATAATGATAAGAGGAATAACAAGGGAAAAGGACACAACCGCTCACCACCCGCCGACCGATACCCAGCCTGACCCGAGCAGCGATCTGGGCCTTCCGGGTAACTCCCCCCAGTTTATATACTGGGCATGACGTGCTGTGGTATGGAATACCCCTTTGGCCAGTTTGGGTCAGGTGTCCTGTCTCTGCTTCCTCCTGGCTTCCCCTCCTCCCTGGCAGAGCATGAGACTGAGAAAGTCCTTGGTCAGAGTAAACATCACTGAGCAACAACTAAAAACATCGGTGTTATCAGCGTTGTTCCCAGGCTGAAAGTCAAAACCACAGCACTGCACCAGCTACTAAGAAGGAGAAAAAATGACTGCTGTAGCTGAACCCAGGACAACGTGCTACAATGTTTGGTCGCAATTCTGCAAGGAAAATCCACATTTTTCACCATTTCAGTTTACACGAGTGTCAAATTGCTGATGTGGTATTCCTCTGTAAGTCCTACAAAAAAAAAAAAAAAATTCTCTAGCAAATTTGGAATAAAAATAGAATCTTCAACATGTAACCACAGTAGTCTTTACAATAGATTTTTTCAAGGTAGTAAGAGTTTTATTATCCAGACTCATGTATATAGGAAGTTTATTAGCAAGCACTTTCTACAGAATCTTTCACGAGGCTTTACAATCCACATTATCGGTAAGAAAGGTTATTTCATGCTCTTCCAGGACCCAGGCTTCATAAGCACTGAGAACAGATAGCGGACAGTATTTTAAGTGTAACCATGTTTTGGATTGCATCAGGTTTGCTATTCCCACCAAGTATTTCCTTGATAAACTTACAATTATAAGTATGATAGGGTTGGGTGATACAGAGAGAAAACAGAAATAAAACTTATTAATATTCCACTCCAATGCAGATATAGCTGATGATTCCTTACAGCGTAATTCCCGAAGCTTTGTGTAAGGACTTTAAAATATCTCCCCTACCAAGTGACGTCTCTTCCCTCCAAAACAAAGCACCCTCCTTAATCTTTATCATACACCCCTCACTCCACGTTAGCCTCCGCATATTCAAGAATGCAGTAAAGTACGTCAGGTTTTAGTCTTAACAGTTCAGAAACAAACTAACCCCTTTTCACGACACTGTTTCAGAAATCAAAATTTGGTATAAAGCTCCTCAACTGCCACCAGTTATCAGGACTTTACAGTTTTCTTGGGGATCCTGGGTGGGGGAAGCTTCATTTTAACTGCAAGCTCAAAGAAATTCTTAATTATTGAACCTAGTTCCTGCTACTAAGGCAACTGTGACTTTCATTCACTGCAGAATTTTCACTTTGTCAGTGCTCCTGTATGCCTCCCCCAGAGGCTGTTCAAAGCCTTCAGCCTTTCGACCTTTCTTCTAGTCCCCAACCATACAAAATTACAATAAAATTCATTTTAATGTATCATACAAGAATTATGAGTGTCAATTATTAACACTCCTCACCCCCCAAAAAGATCCAACAGAGTTCTTTTGCACCAAATGTCAATTGTTGTCCTTCATCCATTGCTCAATCCATTGCATAATCTGATCCAAATTTCTCTCCAAGTCTTCAGGAGTATTGCTGGGTAACTGGTGTACAATTTCCTCTCTATACGACAACAAAGCTTCCTCATAAAGTGTCTGAAAAATTTCACACTGAATGTTGTCTTGCAGCTTTTTCCCCTTGTACCCCCTTGAAAACAAGAACAACACCAAGAGACAGTCTTTAGACATGCAGAGAACTATGAAGAATTCCGTAGAGAATCAGTAATTTATATGCTAAAAAATCTTTTGTGAGGTCACAAAACCGTTCTTTGTCCTTACTTACTCCACTGACATACCTGCTTTCAAGTCTGTCATAGAGAAATGAATTTTCTGTACGAAGTACAAACACGATATGAAACCAACGCTCAGGGAAGAAATCACAGCCATGATAATCAACAATAACTCCACCCTCACTCATTTTATCTTCTAGCTCATCTATTACCTACGAAAGAAACAAAGACAGGCAAATTTACCTGAAATTACAGAAAATCAAAATACAAGAATGATAGTTTTAGAAGTTGGGCTTACCCTGTCTTCATCCAAAATTGGACAGTCATACTCCTCATCAAAACCTTCATACAGTTCTCCTGCAGCAAAAAGAATTCGTGGAAGTTTGTGAAGTAACAGCAGTTATTAAAATTATTTATGTAGTTATGTTTATTTCAGGAGGATGCAAACACAGGACAGTGTTCAGAGCAAGAAATACCTTGTTTGCAAATCCATACAAGGGTAAGTTTGTTGTTACTTAATAACAGTGTGCCACAGTGACATAAATGCATTTTTACCTTATGCCACCAAAAGCATTTCTGTTAAAGCAAATTCACTGCCATTTCACTTAATGCGTAATTCATGCACTGCAAATTATACAAAGCAAAAATATCTGAAGTCCTTTGATGGATTATGTTGTAAATATGGCCTACCATCTTTCGCCATGTCGCCCACATTAATATAGGTCATCCCCGCTCTTGACGCCAGCTCTTTTCCAAGTGTGGTTTTCCCAACGCCTGGAGTACCTGAAGACACAACACCATGTAAGACAGTAAGAGAACAGCATGCAAGTCCTCTTCAAATAACCTTCTAAGGGGTCAAAAAGGAAGCTTTTTCAGTCAATGTTGGCAAGTTTGTGTAAGAAAAAGGAGGCAAAACCCTGCATGATTAGGAAATACAAATAAGAGCAATGTCTGCAGATGAGAAAAACCAAAATGACAGAACTATAACAAAAAGCCTCACTTTGTGCAGAAGCTTTATTCTAATCAGGATGATCATAACATCACAGAGTGGTCTGGGTTGGAAGGGAACTTAAAGCTCACCCAGTTCCAACCCCCTGCCACAGAGACCAGGTCGCTCCATGCCCCATCCAACCTGGCCTTGTCCAACCTTCCTCACAGCCCTTTGCTCTGGATTCCTCAAAGAGGCTGGGCACCCTGTGCCAGGGCCTCAGCACCCTCACAGGGAAGAACTTCTGCCTAAGAGCTCATCTCAGTCTCCCCTCTGTCAGTAAACCTTGTTTCATTTAAAGCCTGAACCTACACGGGAAACCGCAAGTTCCCACTCAGCGCAGCCGACACCGGCTCCGCAACGACCTCACACCGCAGACCACTAGTAAAGAGGGATGAGGAGCCCCTCCGCCAGGCCC